CTCTGGCGTCCCTTCCGGTCGCCCGATATCACCGGGATTGTCCATTGTGACCCGAGAGATACGAGGCTGCTTTTTCTCCGAGAAAATTAACAGGAAGACGCGATCCTACTATCGGACTCCTAATTATATTAAATGAAGTGTCCGGTGCGGGTCTCTTTAACCGCGATACTGGCGTCGGGGTGTATAATTTTCTGCGGAGCTGTAGTCGAGTTAGGTGGACATTTAGCTTTCCCGTACACTATTACGCTAAATATAGAGTCGGTATTATCGTTTATAGACTGTGGTTTTTGTCCATTTCTGATAACGGCATGAAGACTTATATCGAAGTCTTTAAAACTATGAAGATAATTTTATTTAATTTGTTTCTTACAATCGATTCAGACAACTTTAACCACGGATAAGTACTTGATTTTTCAGTATAAAATCGTAGGCTATCTGTTATGCAGATGCGTCCTAAGAATTAAAAGGCATATAAAAAGAGGGACAGAAAAGAATAAAAGAATTTGTTAGAATTAAAAATTGAAGACTTTTTAGATTTAGTTTTTCTTGCTAAATCGTACAAAATATTTAGAACGCAAAGTCCACGGATTCATAGGCTAGCCATACGCGTCCAATCAGACTTCGTTAACCACTGCTCCGTCTTCGCAAAAATCGATGACAGGTTTTAATCGGTACAACTTTGATAAATATTGCATTGCAGTATTATAAAAACATATTCGCTTCTATCGAACCCAAATCGAATCCGCTAAGTTTCCTTTCACCCCGAGAGGGCGAGCACTCCCTTAACTACTCTCAGAAGGGACTATCGTCTGATGACAGAGCCCTCGATTCAACTGTCCGCTCTCGAACCGTCCATCTCCAAAGTCTCGAAAGCTGGAGGCTCTATCCGACCGGTCTACCTGTTCGTGTCCTCGACGCGCCTCATAATTGTACCACGCCGACGCATCGGCGATATTCCGCGTTGCAACTTGACGAGAGGCGTCTACGCCGAGCCGAGCAACCGGCAAACAATGCAAACGAGAACCGAGCAGCGATTCACTCGATCCGTCGACGTTTCCTGAATTATTGTTCCCGATGATCGATCGCCGCTCGAGAACGCTCCGCGGCCGCTTTTTGGCCTCGCAGGAGGCTCCTCCGGTTTTACGAGGGAGGAAGATGCGTCTGATAGACCGCCCTATCGGATAGACTAAGGGGATCGAGGGGAACACGGGCCGACAATTGCGAGAACGGAGCATGTAGCTCGGCGAGATCGAACCACGAGGATTCCACGAGAATCCATTCCAATATTCGTTGCGGCTGGTATTCGAGTGTCTCGGCTGGCACGTAATTACCGGCCGTGGAACGAGAATCACGGCACCGTGGCACGAAGATAAAATGTGGCCCGGTCAGATAGCCGCCGTGTTTTCGAAACGACACGCTCCGAGATTTTATAATTGTCCCGGGCCCCGTCTCGTAAGCGGTTGCGTCCCGACCGTTTTCGCGCGGTTGTTCAACACGACGGGAACGTAACCGGTGCGGCGAGGCGCCACGGGGCACGGACCCGTTAATGGGCCCTGATGCTTCGTTCTGTCCGAACGCTGCCAAATATTGCCGCTGACAACGAGACTTAAGCGAGATTTAAACGATTTCCGTAACAGCTTGATGACCTCTGATTGGGTGGAAGCGATAGAATTGATCTGATCCGCGAATCACTGACCCTTTTTGGTTCCGTGCAGAATCAAGTTGATCGTTCACGTTTGCACCAATAAGTTGGTCATCGTTGAAGCGTAATATGTATGTATGTGTTTTCGGTCGACGCTGATCGCATCATATATCGTGCGATTGCGTGAAACGATCAGCAACACGATATCGAGCCTCTTGCATATAAAACAAGTTTCAAAAAGTTCGTTCATACGAGATTTTTGTTTGGGTCCATCTAATATTGTCGCGAATGAAAATATTCCGTTCGCAGTCAAGAACTTTTTGGAGAAAGAGTTATGCTCGAAGCAAATTGCCGTGAAGATTTTTAAAAATAAAATCTCGTTTTTGCATATTATTTTCAGAATTACTTCTTTTGACATATTTGAAAGAAAAAGACAATGAAATGATTCATTATTTGAAATTGCTTTTATTTCGAGTGGATCGATATTGTTTTTATTTTCAAGCAACAGCATTGAAAATAACTGTCCGAAATGAATTAACTCAAATATTCACTTCTTATTTCCATTTCAAATAAATTTTGTCGAGACTCGACTCTACGGAAGCCTTCATTTGAATAGCAATGCGCTCTATAGTAATAATAATACTATAATATAGTATATAGTACAATATATATTATAATTATATAGTATAGTATAATATATATTATAGTTATATAATATATATATATTATTGACAATTTATAACTATAAAAACGAGCCAAAAGGCTCGAATAATCGTATCTCTTCTTCCCAAATTGTCCAGTTTTGTGGACAATCTGGGCGTCAATTAGAGTATTATTATTACTCTAATTATTATATATATTATATAATTATAATATATATATTAGGGAAGAAGAGATAGTCCAGTTTTGTGGAGGAGGATTTGCTATGAGTTTATTCAATTATTGCTACCAACCACGAGTTATCAGCAAAGTCATCGACGCTAAGCAAATCTGATCAAGGACAAAAAATCCTCTACTGCGTNATTATTTGAAATTGCTTTTATTTCGAGTGGATCGATATTGTTTTTATTTTCAAGCAACAGCATTGAAAATAACTGTCCGAAATGAATTAACTCAAATATTCACTTCTTATTTCCATTTCAAATAAATTTTGTCGAGACTCGACTCTACGGAAGCCTTCATTTGAATAGCAATGCGCTCTATAGTAATAATAATACTATAATATAGTATATAGTACAATATATATTATAATTATATAGTATAGTATAATATATATTATAGTTATATAATATATATATATTATTGACAATTTATAACTATAAAAACGAGCCAAAAGGCTCGAATAATCGTATCTCTTCTTCCCAAATTGTCCAGTTTTGTGGACAATCTGGGCGTCAATTAGAGTATTATTATTACTCTAATTATTATATATATTATATAATTATAATATATATATTAGGGAAGAAGAGATAGTCCAGTTTTGTGGAGGAGGATTTGCTATGAGTTTATTCAATTATTGCTACCAACCACGAGTTATCAGCAAAGTCATCGACGCTAAGCAAATCTGATCAAGGACAAAAAATCCTCTACTGCGTCTCGCGCTTCTCGCAACGGATTAGAAAACGTCTTCGATTCCTAATTGTCTGCAATCGTCTCAGAATCCGTCGGCACGCAGCTCAACCGGCGTCTGGGCGCGTCGAAAAATCTTGGCGCGTTTCGAATCGGTCGTTTCCACGGTAATTGCTTATGCAACGAGGATTTATCGTGTCGAACGTACTTGACTCCAATTACCCGCGGCGAGTCCGTTGCGCTCGCCGAGAAATAAATAGAAACCTCGGCTCAATTGAAGGTGGCCAGATGCTCGGTCTCTCTCAGTCGTTCGGTATGGTATCGCGCGGTGTCGGAGGTCAGCGAGCCAGCTCGCAGTGGCGTACCACGTCGGAGTGCCGTGTCTGCCGACCCAGCCACCTTCGGACAAATGGCAAATTCCTCTCGGACCGCGGGATCATTAAGTCGCAATGAGCGGGACCGCTAACGAAGAACCTGCCGCAATAAATAATCCGGAGGATCCCGACGAGGGCTGGACGGTGCTCCGTCGACAACTACAAATTGTCTAAATTATCGGCCTGTCCCGATAGCCGGCGATCATGTCGCAACTCGCCGCGATGGAAACACACGCGTCGGGAACGAGACGTGCCGCGCCATGGGACAAGGGACACCCCAAAAGCGGTAAAAAGTCCCGTTTCATAAACGTCCTCCAAATGAACACTTCGGTCACAGCAGGATCGAATTTATTTTGCATTTTTATTAATCATTAGCATGGTTACACGATGTCAAAGATGACATCATCTCAAATTGATTGAAGTATCAAATTATTATTTGCACGGCTGTTATTTGCTTAATTTAACTCATCGCCGATGAGAATAAACGTATCAGGCATGTATTTAAATTGTGCAGGATTTCATTTCGATGGTATCAATTTTTGGTGACTCATGTAATATGTTTATTTTCATTCTCGATTTTTAATACAAACTCGGTGAATTTCGGTAATTTGATTGGTGTCAATGTGAAGAGGGGAAAGTCTTAACTGCTACTAGGTGCTGTTGCAGTAATTAGAGAGATTGCCATAATGATTAACGCGTATACATTTTATGAAGAAAAAGTTTATAAATTGTTCCGCGTTAATGAAACGATACATAATTGTTCAGCTTGAAAATTAATTTTCAATTGATTATTAATTTGTTGTTAAATTGTTTTCAATATGATCTGAACTAATTATTCATTAAGTTCCATATATCTATATTTAATTGTTGTTTATTATATAATTACATTTTCATTTATAAATGTTGTCGGAAGATCAATTCTATCATTTATTTTGTGTTAATAAGGCCACATATGCAAAGCCTCGCCGTAAAGAATTCAAAAAATGGGCATACAGTAATGTCTCTCTAATTGACGCTTAAGATTGTCCACGAAAATGGACAATTTGGAGAGAGGAGATACGATTATTCGAGCCTTGCGGTTCGTTTTTATAGTTACAAACTGTCAACGACTATAAAAACGTATCGCAAGGCTCGAATAATCGCATCTTCCCTTCCCAAATTGTTCATTTTTGTGCACAATCTATGCGTCAGTTAGGGAGACATTACTGTAAATATGTGATTTCAGTTAGAAGATATCTTTCACCATTTTTGGGTACTTTCTGTCCTAGAGTGCGTCGCGTGACACTTTTTCAGCCTGTCGGAGGCGACGAGTCTTCAAAGGGGGGCAGGCGGAGAGCAAAAGAGAGCAAGAGAGAGAGAAAGAGGGGGGAGGAGAGGTACTGTCATCGAGAAAGGTGAAAAGGGATCGTACTCACCGGTACGGTATCCTGCGTTGCTCAGGTAAGTGGCGAACGAGTGCGGCTCGTAATCTCGTTGCCACTGGGGGCTGCTGCAGTTGTCGTTGTTCGTGAAGACCTCGTGATTGTGAACGTACCGGCCGGTCAGCAAAGAGCTCCTGCTCGGACAACACATGGGAGTGGTCACGTATGCGTGTCTCAGCTCGGCTCCCTCGTCCCTTATTCGCCGGAGGGTCCGCGGCATGAAGTTCAGCGAACCTGAGGGATCGGACCAACCGCAACCAGACGATCAAAAGGTTCGTTCGCCGGATCTACCGGCATGGCATACGAGCCGCCGAAAACAGCTCGGATCGGATTCGAAGATAGATAGAGAGGGGCCCGGAGGAGATTACTTCTTCGAAGAACAAGGGGGCGAAAACCCCCCTCTACCGGATCCTCGTTTATCGCGGAATTGAATTTTCCCTTTTTACTTTTTGCTCGATTTCTCCCGCCGGATCCTACCTCTAATCTATCCTCGGAACGACTAGCTGGATGTTGGAAACGGCGGATCGAGAAACATCTACGAATCTCGCACGTTGATTGCGGATTTTACGCGTCTGCGATAAGACTCGACGGGTGAAATTTGACACAGTTAGGAGACTAAATGAACTTAACCCTGTTAAACCAGTCACTTACCGTTTAGAAAACAGTTTCATTAGTGTAGGGATGTCAACGTTGTATAAATAGAATGATTAATCACTCCGTAAACGGAAAAACAGATATAATTGAACAATCCTTAACCCTTTCATTAGCACTGGGAACTAAGCTTCCCACCCACTTTTAGTGCGCATATGGACGCCAGGCTCAAATATTCCCACCGTTGAAATATGCTGTCGTCTATATATAGGTCCCACCACCCCTAATTATGAGGGGTGAGAAATTAGAAATAACGGGAAAGCGAATAACAGCTGTATTACTATATGATAAAATTATGGTAAGTGAATATTCCAATCTTTTTAAAAATTCATATTGTGCCCTTGAAAGGCTTAAGAAGTCTAAAACTATCGTTACAACATATTGTATAATAATCATTTTCACTAGCCTTTATAAGCGACAATATTTTCTTTTTGTATAATTTTTATTTTGTTTTTTTCCCGTGAATAAATGAATAAATAAATAAATCTTATAGAAGATTGACTCTGCTAGACTCTAATAGCTGAAGATAAGTTAGTCATTCACCCCTTGGCGTACCATGTTCTCTACGGTTACCATGATTAAAATCTTGTAATTCTAATTTCTTAGAAGAAAAAGAAAATTTACTTGAGTCATCAAATATTGACGAATAAGAGAACAAAATTTTGTTCCCACTTGAAAGAACAGAATAATATTCATATTTTAAAAAGAAACTATTAAAAGAAACACTATATTTTATCAGTATATTCTTTATCTGTCAACTGGTTAAAGAATAAAAGTAGAAATTAATAATGAGAGACGGCTTTTTCGCATAAAATTCGCGGTCTACCGATAAATAATGCTTCTAATACGGACCCAGCTCGACATCCTGATCGTCCGTCAGTATTAGGACGATGTTCGGCTTCCTCTCCCTGGGCTGCTGGTATGGTAGGTACGGTGAGTTCGACTGCGAGTTGTAATTATTGTTGTTCCCATTGTAATTGGCCTTGTGGGGGGAACCGCGACGCTGCTGGCCGCTGTACGCGTCCTCCGCAGGGGCGCCGGCGTCCGTCCGCCTGGCGCTGACGCACAACAATAGCACCGCCAAAAATTGCAGTAACTTCCTCATGGTGGATGGTGGTTCCTCGTCGGTTGCAGGCTCTCGTCCTCTCAATCGAGTGTCATATCATGGCTGCTGCTGTAACAGGCGAGGCGTGTCGAACGCGTTAACGAACCTTTGCTACTGACGTTGATCAGAGGGAGATCCCGATAAGTCCGTCTCCGGCGGACTGTAATCTTTCGCAGGGCCGATCGCGAAATTGCCGAGTTCCCAGATAAAATCACGTATTGCGCCGACAGCCTGTCTTTAGTCACTGCCAGCGCCCGTTTCTTCCGTTTCTTTCCTTACGGAAAGCCCGCAATTTAGACCCTTCGCGTTTATACCCGACCGAGTCTACACCCTGCCCTTGCATACAATATATCTTTATTTTGTACGGTCCGTCGAACGTTTTCTTCTCCATTGTCTTCTACTTGAAATATCAACGTGCTATTTAGTTAGTATGATTTGTGTTATTTTTTTATCTTGTCTGGCAAAGCGAGCGAAAGTTCGATCACCTCGAGTCATAGTTGGGCAGTAATCGATTATTTTGTTGTTATTTTTGTAATTGATTACGAAAAGTAATCTCGTTAATTATAATCATTAACCAATTAATCGATACTAGAATGACTCAGTAGGCATGATTATATTTGATAATCTGTAATCATTACTCAGTAATCTAATCATCTTTTCTAATCATTTTCGCTTGCTATTGGATCTGAATGAGGATCAGAATTATTATTGACTACCATAATTTCTATTCTGCATGAAAATCCGCAGTCTATTAATCAGATCAGTTTCTGCCCAACTTTGTTTCAAGCTCCGCAGCAGAACGGGCATATAAACATATGACGCTGGCAGGAAGTTCGAGGAAACCTGTTTTCCGAACTTGCAGCATTCCCGACCCACAATTTAAGGAAACGTGTATCCATCGACAGAGGTCAATCTTCGAACACCGAAGAAGCTGAGTGATCGTGCTACCAAGCATTTTCGAGGATCGCAATTTCACGCGATCTCCTCCGTCTCCTTCGCATACTAATTTGTCGCCATTATGGGAGGAACCGGCCATCGCGCATCTCGCTAATAAAATCGCTAAAACCCCTAATACCGTCGGTATCGCTAAATAAAATACGCCTGATGTTACCGAGGGGAAGGAGCGGAGCTCGCGACGGACGCTGTCGTTGCTCGCCACACAGGACGCTCGCATGATCGCGAGGCAGGATCGCCCAAGGGTGAAATTCTTGCCGCGACCGAAACGGATTGGCTAACAGCTTAATGGGGCTTGCAGCCGGACAGGATACGCGACCGCTAATTATTGCCGATAACTCGGTAAAACCGCGAGGCCCCGAGTCCACGACGCGACATGCGCACCGTGCGAAACAATTAACCGGGAGAACGCGATCTCGATTCCATCGGGATCGGTAACTCTCGCGTGAATACCTCTCTCGGGCCTCGGCGCAGAACGTGATCCCCGTAACAAAATAGTCTGCGAGCCCGCTCGTGTAGAGCCGTGCGCCTCGGAGAAAGATGAAACACGTAAAAAAGAATGGACTGCTCGCCGCAGCCATGATCGGACGGCCGAGGTTTTATGGCGGATGCCCGTCGCATTCCTCTCGGCGGACATCTCGCGGACGATCGAGGGCCTCGTAAATAGTCGTTAGCACCTGTATTATCCGCGACCCGATGAATACCTTATAGTCCTCGCTTAAATCAAGCACAACGTTCCTACGCTGTTTCTTAGTGCCGGCTAATATGTTCGCTCGAGGTACCGCCGCGGTCGTAAAGACGATTCAGATTGTCCTCGATGGCAGTATACTTTATAAATTCATGGCGGGCACCGCGCGCCGCCGCGATGAGAGCAATTCGATCGAACAGTAAACGTTTGATTTTCTGGTTTTTGTCGGTTGCGCGTGTGGATCATACTCTGGTTACCGAGAGATCCCGTCTGACGAGTCCTCCGATCTCTCTGGCTTGTCAGAGGACTATTTCTTGCGTGAATATTTTGCCCTCGAGTGGCCACTCCGAAGAGCCATTAGATGTAATTTAGCCTTAATTCGACGCGATTCTCGCGTCCGTCGATCGACTTTAATCGATTGCACTAAAGATATAATTGTTGAAGAACGCGCGTTGAATAAAAATGACGTGAAATCGAACCTGCGGGTTTCCCAGGGTAGTGGAAAGTCAACGCGGGAGCACAAAGGACCGTGAGTTTCGGGGCAGGAAGCGGAGCGTACCGGCGGCGGCGGAGCAAATTTCTGATGCGGTTCGAACGTTTCCCACGGTGGAACCGTCAAGGAGAGACTTTTTCGCGTTATTCGCGTCGCGATCTTTCCCCGGCCGACCCATTTCCCGGGAAACGCGGGCTCTTATTAAATTTCTCGGGACGTGCCGCTCTGTTTTCGCTGTTTCGACGACGCGTCGCGAATAGGGGACGATCGGTTTCCTTCGCCGTTGACGGCCCCGTGTTTTCGACGTCGCTTTTCACCGTTCTCCCGCCGCGGGAATGCAACGCGTCTCTTACACTCTTACATCGTACGCTAATCTCTCCGCGTGCCCGCTCGGAACGATACCGAGCGTGTTTGCGCCGCGATTTTGCTCCGCGAGTTTCGCTCTCGGACACGCCTTAAATACGATCCAGGCCGAGTTATAAGTTCAGCCGAGTCACGGAACACGGGAATCCACCTTCATAAAGTTCGCGGGAGTGTTGCTCCGCGAACGTAGATCGGCGAAAGTGAGATTTCATCGACCAGTTGCCGCCTGGCGCGCCGAACCAATGCTTCACCTGTCCGCCCGGCGAGGACAGCGAGACGATACGGAGAGGATGCCCGCGCCCGGAACCGTCTATCCCCATCGGACAAACTTCCTGGGTTCCGTTGGCTAAACTTTCGAATTGACACTTCGATCCCCGCGGGAACGTCGTGAGAAATTGCCGGAAAAATTCACCTCGGGGCTCGGGTTTTCCTAATTTATGGAAAGTTCGAAGTGACCTGGGGAGTGGCAATCGAAAAGCGACATATGATTCACCATAGAGATCTATTAGGAAGTGTTGAAAGAAATGCATGGTAAACATATTAATTTATCTCTATCTTCGAAGACTCTTAGTCAGAGAAATACAATTGTTTCTTTTTCGTTGATTTAAGGAACGACTATGAAATAAGTCTACCTTTGTCAGAAATGGACCTAATCGAAATTTTCTGAAACAGTGCGAGAAAGCGAGGTCAAACAGAAACTCATTTCTTTTTCCAGTAATTTTTTTTTGTTTAGAGGATTAAAGTTGCGTCGATATCTGGCTCGTTAGCGACATTTTCTGTTGGTAGATATTATGTAAAAGGATTTGTAGAGATGTTTACTTCTTTAAATGATGCATAAAATCCTGAATTCATGAATGAAAAATGGCTATTACTTGGAAACTGGATCGGCTGGATCATCAAAGGAGCGAATCGCGAGCGTGGCAAAGTAGCGAGATTTCATGCAATTCCAGCTCAAGGCTCCGGCATTAATAAACTATTGGATAAAAACCGGCAAGGTCTCGATTCCATCCGGAGCATGACAGCGCGAACAAGTTTCTATTTGATCCCCGATCAGATACACGGCCGGTATCGCAGGAACAAATTCTTTGTAGCCCGCGTACAAGGTCCGACACGGCAGGGAGGAGCGTCGGGATTATGGATCGCTAATTAGCGACGCCTATTCGCGGCGCGGCGAGGTCCGAGTCGGCCGGAATCGTGTTCGGAGGCGTCTGGAAAGATGTCAGGAAGCGATGTCATGGCCGATCTGGCCGCTCGATCCGGTGGCTCCGGAGCCCGCATTAATTACCGCTAATTGATAATCACCTGGTCTCTCCCGGCGGAGCAGGTAGGCAAATAAGAGGCCAGCAGCGGAGGAGGACAGAGGCTGGAGCTGTTGAACAATGTGGCTGGCCGATCCCTCGCGGGACCCGCCGAGAGGATTCCCGCGCGATCGTTGCGCAATTTATCACCTGGTAATTGGCCGCGCGATTAATTCGGGGGAGGGGAGGGCGGCGGCCGAACTCGGAGGTATCCCGTCGAACAACGCGGAAAATAAAGAGCCGCGCCGTAATTAGATTTTGTCGGAGGAGTAGCTGGTTCTCTCGCCGATTCCTACGGTTCCACGAATCCTCCGGGGGTCCCCGGGCCCGCCGATTTGTTCCGGGCTGCCGGAAACTGACCCGAGCTGGAACGTTCTACGAATACACCTGGATTAGAAGCGCCTCGACGCTGGCTCGTTCCTGGAAAACCGTTTCTTCGTTTCGAGGATGTTACGGAAACTGACAGGGGACCCGGCCGGCGTGCTCGAGGAATAAATGAATCCTAGATCGCGAGTCAATCTTCATTCGGGGCATGAGCATCCAGTAACGTATCTCGCAACGTTTCGCGGGGTGCATTGAACCGCGGCGGCGCGGCGTCGTCTCTCGCAAGCATCGAACCCGACGCCAGCTAAGAATAGTAAAACAATAATCCGTCGGTCGGTTTCGCAACCGCAGGAATTGAGTAACAAGTCTCGGGTCGCCGTGATTCGAAGCCATTGTGCGCGAGCAACTGTACAGGAAGCGAGAAGCCTGCACAGTCGGCCTCCTCCGGTGCTCCTTCACCTGGGAAACCGTGATATCGATCAGTCGTCAATTAGTACTCGATCTCGTTAGCGCTCACCGCCTAATCCAGACCGAACCGAGACGAATGCCGAGGATGGCATCGACCAACCGACTTCGTGCTAGCGCGCTCTTCTAGCTGTTCCTGTTCAGTTCGCTTCGGAAAATGCTCCAGGACGTGTGCCGCGACTGTCCCAGTTTTTTACTGAATTTAGAGCAGCTAGCAAGGTTCGTCGAACAGCTGTAACGCGCTTTTGGTAGTGGCTAGAAGTCATTGTGGCACTTAACCCTTAACCGGACTAGGGTGGCCGAGACGGCTTCACGCAACATTATACGTTCATGCAATTATTTAAGAATTCATGTAACCCTTTACCAACACGTCAAGTTTGCAATGTTTCAATGTAAATTTACTTGCGCTTTAATTAATATTTGGAAATGTGTATGCGATATTTACTAAAACAATAATTGGTGATTATTTATGGTCCGGTTAAGG